TTAAATTATAATATATTGTTCTGTAATTGTCATCTTTGATAATAGCTTATGTAAGCCGAAAAGCTTAGATTGGATTAAAAAAAATATGTACGAATATTGTGATTTGCTTTCTTCGTTTAATGATAATGTTATTAAGCTTATCAGAAGTTATGAAAAGAATTTACATAAAATAAATAGACAACACTTGTCTATATTATTTAATGAAACACACACACACACACACACACACACACACACACACACACACACACACACACACACACATATATATTGTGTGTATTTAGGCCGCATTTTTTCATTGATTCATGTTTAATTAAATAATATAGACAAGTGTTGTCTATTTATTTTATGTAAATTCTTTTCATATCGTCTGATAAGCTTAACATTATCATTGGAAGATGAAAGAAAATCAAAATATTGATACATATTTTTAATCCTATCTAAGCTTTCGGCTTACATAAGCCATTATCAAAGATGACAATTACATTACAATATATTAAACAATACACGGACAAAACAATAATGATAGTCTGTTTATGTTTACATGGAAGATTTCCAAGCAGCGACAAACTCGTGCATACAAGACGCTGGAAGCGAAAATCACACTGCAGCTCATGACGTCGCACATGACCACACAAGAGTGAAAGTGAGAAATATTAAGTATGGGAAGCCGTTGGTATAAATGGCTTTTGTTATCAATTATAGGAATTTAAAAATATTTGTGGAGATTTCATAAATTATTTTGTTCAGGTTAGGTTTAAACTGTTTTATGTATATAGCTTCAAGAATTTTTAGTTTTTGTTTATTGTTTTCATATTTAAGTATAGTTGCGTTTTCAACAAGGATTTTCCGGAATTGTGTACGCAGCCAGGCATGTTGTTTTAAATGCCTAAAAATGTTAGAGATATCATTCAAATGTGGTGTCAAGCGTCGTGAAAGCGAGTTTGTGGTGTGACCAACATAAATATTATTTAATCCGTTGGAGATACAATCTCCCAAAGGGCACTTGAATTTGTAAACTATGTTGTTTTTTTGCAAATCGCTAACCGGGGGAGAAGAATCATTGCGAATAAGTGAGTTGGATATATTAGATTTAGTGTAGTATATGATTAACTTAATTTTTTTGCTAGGATCTGTTGTAGATATATTAGTATTTACTATTTTTTTTAGTATATTTTCATCTTGTTTATAATTAGTATGCCTTTAATTACGATATAGGAGATTAATATGTTTGAGATTAGTAGAAGCAGTATTATGTTCTGTTTGCTTAGTATTGAGATTTCTAAGAAAGCATCTTATTTGTTCATCAACTATATAGTTTGGAAAGCTATTATTAATAAATGTTTGTTTTATATTCTTTAGTTCACTGTAAAAATCTGTTTTGCTATTTTGTAGTAATATGGGCATTCGCTCTTCTAGTTAAGTGTACATGAATTTATGCTGGTAGTTTTTTTTTGTATGGCGAAATAGTAAATTTGTTATTATTTGTGTTTATCAATATGTCAAGGAAGGGAATTTTATTAGTAGTATTGAGTTCATACGCGAATTTAAGAACAGAATTATTTTGGAAACGTTTTTGAAGATGAAATATTTCATTTATATTTTTAACTAACATAAGGATATGTCAACACATCTTAGGTAGATGGATGGTTTTTTAAAATCTGTAAATATCTTATTTTCGAGGTTCGACATCTAGAAATTGCTAAATGTCGGTCCCAGTACTGAACCCATGGAGACACGATCACGTTGTATTATTATGATAATCTAAGAAAGAGACTTCAGTAGTACAAGCCAATAGTAGTTTCCGTAATATACTAGGATTAATTTTAAGTCGGGTAAAGATGAGTTACTGTATATATTTCTTATAATTATGTCAATAGTTTCACTAACAGGGACATTGGTAAATAAGTTTTCAACATCAAGTGAAGCTATGATTTCATTGTCGGGTTTTTCACTTTTTAGGATTTGGATTACTTCTAATGTTGACTTAACACTATATTTACTAGGAAGGTAGGGAGTAATGAGTTGGTTAATGTATTTTGTTAGCTGATATGCAGGAATTGGAATTTGCGATATGATAGGACGGAGAGGATAGTTAGGTTTGTATTTTTATAGTGCCGTATATATAACCAGGTCTATAACCACCAAGAATTTTAAGGAGTTTTAAAGAGTTCTGTTCAGCATTATTAGCATTAATAAGTTTATTAAACTTTGATTTCAGTTGGTTGGTCGGGTTCTTGTTGAGTTTTTTTTAAACTTTATGTGATCATGGATTATGTGGTCAAGTTTTTTGTTGTAATCCAATTTGTTTAGGATGACGAAAATGTTGGTCTTATCAGCTTTTTTTTTACAATTATGTCAGAGTGGTTGCGTAGTTCTTGTTATTGTTTTGTCCGTGTATTGTTTAATATATTGTAATGTAATTGTCATCTTTGATAATGGCTTATGTAAGCCGAAAGCTTAGATAGGATTAAAAAAATATGTATCAATATTTTGATTTTCTTTCTTCGATAATGATAATGTTATTAAGCTTATCAGACGATATGAAAAGAATTTACATAAAATAAGTAGACAACACTTGTCTATATTATTTAATGAAACATGCATCAATATATATATATATATATATATATATATATATATATATATATATATATATATATATATTCTAGGATTAAGATAAGGAAAAGGTTTGTCACTTAGTTGATTGATGTTACCTTCAGCAATTCGACTCCAGAGATTCATAGGCGGACCTGTTCGTCCACTCTTCAGTGGTTATCAGCATTTTACTGCTTCTATTTTTTAGATTTTTACCTTTTTATACACTTAATATTTGTGTAAGTTTTTTTTCCGTATTTTTTATGTTCGTGCGTGCGTTTGCGAGCGCGCAGCCATGCGCTCGACTGCGCGGATCCGTGTCGATTGTCGGGTGTTGTCACCAATGTCCTTTTCTTCTTTTTTTTCTCTTTAGACTTGCTCATCAGCTTTTTCTATTTTTTCTTCTTTTGTTTCGACAATTGCGGTTTGTCGCGAGTGGCTCCACGTTTTTAGACTTGCCACTGATTTTAATTTTTGGGCGTCTATTTTTTTTTCTTTATATATATATATATATATATATATATATATATATGAATAAAAATAAATTTTTCCTATTGTGTTTATTCAAATATATATATATATATATATATATATATGTCTGTGTGAATAAAGTTAAGATTTTCCTTTATTCAGAGAGAGAGAGAGAGAGAGAGAGAGAGAGAGAGAGAGAGAGAGAGAGAGCGAACGTGCAACGGATAAATTGTTGTCTAAATTGCGCAAAAGTGAAAATAACACTGACATCTCATTTTAACATATATATTTACCAAAATTACACAAAAATATTCAAGTGGATTCCTCAATCCGAGCCGCTATCCATTACTCCACCGTGCCTCCAAGGAAACTGATTCTACCAACTAATCTACTTACAGCAAAAAATCTATTTCCCATCTACACCTGTCTTCTCCCGAAACTGATTCTACCACTGAATCTACCCCCAGCAAAAAATCCCATATAGACCAAGCCTATTTCACCACTTCCATTTACACCTGTCTACTCCCGAAACTGATACTACCACTAAATCTACCCCCAGCAAAAACACCTGAAAGAATGAAACTATTTCACCTCCTCAGTCTATACCCATCTTCTCCCGAAACTGATGCTACCAATTAATCTACCCCCAGTTAAAAAAAGCAAAACTTATAGACCAATCATATCTCACCTTCTTCATCTACATCTATCTTCCCTCGGAACTGATACGACCGTCAAATTTACCCTCAACTAAAAAACATATATAGACCAAACATTTCACTTCCTCCATCTACTCCTATCTTCTCTCGAAACAGATATTACCACTAAATCTATCCCCGACAGAAAAATATCCTTATATTTCACCTCCACCATCTACACAAGACTTCCTCCGAAACTGATACTACCACTATATCTACCCAACCAAAAAAAACAAACAAACAAAAAACAAAACAAAAACAAAACAAAACAAAAAAAAACAACTTATCGTCCAAACTTATTTTATTTCCTCCATCTACACCTGTTTTAAACTTCCCTTTTCAGATTCTACCCTTGCTCGTTTCTTCTTTTTCCCCGACTTTTATTCCTCCATCTGTAATAGAGTAAAGAAATAGTCGATTCCGCGCGTGGAAAAAAATCCCAAGACGATCCGCCACTCAAAAATAAAATAAATGTAAAGAAGAATAACATAAAAATACATTCAGATGGAAGGTCTTTGATATATTTGGACGCCGGTGTATTGGAGAAAAATAACCTCTAGCGGCAGAAACGAAAAAAGTTAAAGGTCCTCCACAACTTCTAAACAGGGTAAAAAAGAGTACAGTGGTCCCCATCAAAATTGGTCTGCGGCCTTCTTCAGGCACACAGAGTGTCCGTTGACCGATAACATAAAACTCACACTTAAAAACAATCAAGGAATTTTCTTCTGTGTCCCAGTGTTCATACACGCGTCTCTGAATAAATGCCATAAAGTTAACTTTTTAAAGAGACATCGGGTGTTTTTCTCCGAATGGCTCCATTAACTCTATTCTGGGCCAACATTCCATAGGACAGGCCATTGGTGTTCTCATCTCTGGCATGTTTTTCGGTGTCTAGGAGACCTAAAATCATTCCCGATTTTTAGAGCCTCAGTGTCGATATATATTGTTTGCAGGAGTTTCATCTTTTTGAATTGATTAATTCATTTATTTCTTTACGGTTTATTAACCTTTTGCAGGGCATTTAAAGCAAGAAAATATTATTAAGTTGTAAGAATTTATGGCGATAATGATGATTTATTGATACTACTGTTTAACCCACATATGTGGGGAGAAGAGGTGGATTTATATCTTTGCCAAGAGTATTTGCGCTTACATGAATATAATGAACGCGACTGGATCTGGAAATCGGAGAGTCGAGATCCAATTCCGAATTGTGACATTATCCGCACATCCATGCTTACAGCACATGGCATTCCCAAGCGGTCGCTCATCTAGGTACTGACCAGATTCGACGTTGCTTAACTTCGGCGATCATACAAGAACAGGTATTTTCAACGTGATATGACCGTAAACCTTTTATTGCTGGAAGTCTACTTCCATGGGAAGTTCTCAGACGAGCTACATTTCTTAGTTCCGCCAACACTAACCTTCACGACTAGGACCCGCCATGCGACTAACATTGTAGCAAACCCCCATTATCTACCCCCACCCAGCCAGTATTCCATTGGTGATAAGTAAGTTCCGCTCGAGAAGCTTCTTCCCGTGAATCATTGCTTTGTGGAACCGACTCCCAAGAGGATGTTTCCCCGATCTCTACAATCTTAACTTGTTCAAATCTCGGGTTAACCGTTATCTTCCCCTCCTATCCGTACAAACTGTGTCTTACTCTATAACCCTCAACCATGAGCGGCCCCAGGGTCTTGTAATAAGGACTGACAATTTAAATATCCCCTAAAACCTTTTAGTTTTCAAATTTTCTTATTTAGTAAGCTCTTAGGTTGTGTAAGTTCCCATCGTTTGCTTTGTTTGAGCCATGGGATTGTACCAGGCTATCATTAGCTTCGTAAATGTCGCAAATCAGATACAACCCCACCGTAACGACAACACTTGTTCCATCTTCGGAAGAAGTATGTCGAAAATAAATTGCAGCCTATTGACAACGGATCCGCCCCGACTACCAGCCATCACTTCTGTATATGTCTAAAATGCATCTGATCAGTGGAACACCTTGATGTTTGCAGCAAAGATCAAACTCTACGGTCAAGCACCCGCAACGTTTCAATTATTAAAACTAGAATGATATTTTGGTCTTTTATTTTTATGTGCTGTGTCCCTTCAGGACGTAGGCGATCATGGCTCTCCACTTCCCCGTCTCCATTGTATCTCTCAATAAGTTTTGTCCCTTTGTTACTTCCTCCAAGCCCTTTTCTGTCATCCACCTGCTCAAACCCGCCAGGTATGTCATGCGTTACTTTCCCTTGTCTCTCTTTCCCTCCATTCGACCTGTGAGTATCAGATTCTTCAAGCCGTCCTTTCTCATTAAGTATCCCAGAAATTTCAGATGCCTCTTCCTGATATTAAGTATAAGTCTCCTCCTTATTTGCATCCTTTCCTAAACCTCATCGTTGCTCACACGCTCAGTCCATGATATCCTTAGTATCCTTCTGTAGAATCACATCTCTGTCACCTCGAGTCTCTTCTTCATCTTTGAGGAGATCGTTCAACATTCACTGCCGTAAAAGAGGACATATGTCACGTAGCAGTTCAGTACTCTTTTCTTTGTTAGCAAAGAAATCCTGCTGTCTTGTAATACTCTGCCCAGCATTTGGAATGCGTCTTTGGCCATCTCAGTGCGTCTTCGGATCTCAGCGTTGAACACTTGCCGTCCTCTGTCAAAACACTTATCATATACTGTTATAGTAAAAGGATCATAGTCTCATTTTCAGGGCAGAAGAACTCGATGTCACATGACTTCCGGTCATGCGTAGCCGAGTTTTATCTTAAGTAAAAACTGAAAATTAAAATTCGGATAAAATTACATAAGGCTACGTGACGGATATTGACTTTTTTATTTTTCATTTTAATATTATTTTTTTTTATCTATATTTTTTTCTATATCTTCAAAAATTGTTTTTCGGTTTACACTTCTGAATTAATATTAAAAGTGAACGGGGTAAAAACGAGGCCTTCCATGTAATCCACATCTATTCCCCAAGGTTGTCCGCTTTCGTTCATATTACACATCCTGAGGCTGGATGAAACCTTTCATGTGCAAGTTGGATCATGTTAACTGGTACTACCGTCTCGGACAGATACTCTGCCTATATCTACACGCCTGTAAGAAAGGACAAAAAGTGAGGGAGAAGAGATGATGTATATTTTCAATATCTTCTTTCTTTATGTGCCGTGTCCCCTCAGGACGTAGGCGATCATGGGTCTCCACAACTTCCTGTTCCCTGTAGCTCTTAATATATTTAGTATATTTTCTACTTCTCCTAAACCCTGTTCTGCCATTCATTTACTCAATTTAATCAAGTATCTTATGCGTTATTTTCGTCTGTCCATTTTTGGCCTTCAATCTGTCCTGTGAGTATCATATTTTCCAAGCCCCGCTTCCTTATTATGTGGTCCAGAAATTTTAACTGTCGATTTCTGATGTTAAGTATAAGTTTCCTTTTTGTTTCCATTTTCTCCTTATCCTTGCTCACATGTCCAGTTAATTGTATCCTCAGCATCCTTCTGCAGAACCACATTTCTATTGCTTCAAGTCTTTACTTCATCTGTGAGTAGATTGTCCAGAAGACAAGGAAGACTGTACGAAGACTGATAGTACATAAGAGTTCAGTACTCTTTTCTTTATTTCTAATGAAATTTCCCTGTTTCTTAATACTTTGGTTAGTTTTGAGAAGGCATCTTTCACTATCCCAATTCACCTTCAGATTTTGATGTTACACTTTCAATCCTCAGTTAAAATACTTGCTAGATATTTAAGTTTTTGTACGTGTTTGACATTGGTATCTCCAATTTGTAATTCGCATTTTGGGCGGCTCCTTTTTGTTGCTGGCAACTATACAGTCTAATCTACAAATTGGAGACGCCAAAATCAAGCAAAAACAAATTTAATTACCTGGGAACTGCTTTTACACATGATGGAAAATATGATACAGAAATCTGAAGCCAAATTGAAATAACGAAAGATGCCTTCCAAGAGTTAAGCAAAGTATTAAGAAACAGGAAAATTTCATGAAAAACAAAGAGAAGACAACTGAAATGCTACCTAATATCAATCTTCTTATATCACAGTGAATGCTTACAGATGAAGAGAAGACTTGAGATAACAGAGACCTGGTTTTACAGAAGGATGCTAAAAATAGGTTCTGCCAGTGGTATTCTCATCAGCCTTCTGTAGAACCACATTTCTGTTTCTTGAAGTCTCTTCTTCATCTTTGAGGAGATTGTCTAACATTCACTGCCATATAAGAGGACAGATATCGCGTAATAATTTAGTAGTCTTTGCTTTGTTTCTAATGAGCTTTGAACTTTCTTAACACTATATCGTTAACTTAACCGGATGAAAGAAATTATTTAGTGAACATGTCGCCAAATTTATTTGGAGCAATAAACGAGACAAGTAAGAAGAAAGCGACAAATAGCCGTAGAATTTTCTCAATCTTTTCATCCGTGTCTCTATTCACATCATCCGTAGTGTTTCTTCTTATCAAGCAACAAACTCACTTTGCTAAAAACAGTCTCACTGCAAAAGACTTTTTGCTGACACAGAGCGCGCCTCACATCACTAGCCAAGAAAGGGATATTTCATCTTTCATATCGGGGTCCTGCAGTAGGTCATGAACTGAATCAACATCAACCTTATAGGTATCCACTTGGGGTCAGTGAAATAATATCAGGAAATATGGCTCGCCATTAACGGTATAAAACCAACCACCTTGGTCGGGATATTAGTGCTGCATGCGTTAAGCTGAAGACACAAAAGTACGAACCTCGACTTAAAACATTAGCAACTAATCTTATGATAGTCTGAAACAAGGCTACGTTTGGGTTATCCAATGAGGATGAAACAGTAGCTCATTAACCTTTATCCTACAGTTAAGTGTTTCACACAATGATAGGAAAATGATAATAAAAAATAAGTATCTTAGTCTGTCACATGTCAACAGGTTTTGCGCTCTCAGTGAGAATTCAACCTACTGTACAATAGTTATGTCTTGTAACTAGCTTAAAAGATACTAGACCACTTTCTTTTGCTGATTTAATAGGATATTTGAATCTTTTGTTGGCATTAATTGTCCATGTGTTTGAGAACTTTCACTTTCACTTTCAAGAAGAGAAATCTATTTAAAAATTTATGAAAAGTTTTATAATTTAGCTTTTCCAATGTGGCATTAAAAATAAATTTGTTTTAATGCCATAAGGAAGAAATTCATTTTGATTAAAGCACACTGCCATATTCTTATGTCGATATTACTTTAGTGTGTTTTCAAAAAGTTCTATTTGTCAGAAAGAGAGACATTTTCTGTCTGGATGTTGCTATTGTGCAATGCACTTAAATTTGTTGGATAATCAAAGGTTTATCATTATTTTAAAAGGTTTTCTTTTTGCTATCTCTCATACATGAATGCTGAAAATTTTTCTGCCAAAGATTTGAAAACAACAGGCAACAATTCTTTTCACTCTCTGCCAAAAAAAACAAAAAACAAAAACAAAAACAAAAAACTCCCCAAAAAACTCGTGGAACAGAATCATTGGAGCAAACGATCAATAAACTGAAACAATATAGCACAAAATAAAGCGTTCGGTTCGAAATTCCAACGTATATCTTTTGAAGAAGACCGGAGCGTACAACGGCCGAAACGTCGTGAATATCACGATAAAGATGAGGATAACAGTCCGAACGAAGTAAATAGTGTAAATAGTTTACAATACCTCATCTTAGAAATATCTATCTATCTATCTATCTATCTATCTATCTATCTATCTATACTAGCAGCATGGCCTGGCGTTGCCCGTGCTTGATTCAAAAACTCATACAGCAATCACTATCACTTGACTTAAAATATTTTGTGCCGTTTTCCGTGCTGATGTTACTACATGCCTTACTTCTTGCCTATCTCCCACTGTGAATTTTTTCTAAGCTCTATACTAAACATTAAATATGTTACGAAAAAAGAACTAAACAAAATGAACACAAAACGATCAGCTTTAAAAAAGGACTCGTAACTGGAAAAACCGAATAAAAAAAGAATGTTAACAACAAATACTTTTTCACACCCTATCCAGTTCCGCGGAATCAGAATCAACGTTGAGTTTAAGCAAGCGAATAAGCCAATTGGAGTAAAGTGCCATGCAGATTTTAATTTTTCCCACTTGTGACGTATGCAGCTATCGATTTTTTTGCGTGCTAGCATGCTAGTTAACATTCGTGTCAGTCAGCTGTTGGCTCTTACGTTGGCCAATAGAACCTTCCTGCCTATTCGTGGCAGCCAGCAATAGGCTCTCACTCTGGCCAGTAGAAAATGGCCGCAAACTACATGAAAACTGCCGTAGAAGCAT